AAATCATGACTTCCGAGCGGACGTATTTCGTGAGAACAATGCCGCGCCTGTCATTTTGACGAACGAATTTGAGCCGCAAGACGGTAAGCTTAGTCTTAATTGATTAATCTTCGCCTTCGAGGTGCTTGATGCCCGTCTGGTTATTCACATGAATCAATATGGGTAATGATCGGCGTTATGACGATTTCACCCAGCATTTCACTCACGCCGATTAATTCGCGTACTGCCTCGGAAGAAGCCACAAATTCTACATCCAAAGTTGTCGATGATGAGCTCCCTCGATTTTTGGCGCTCCAGCTCACTGGTACGCCGTTGAAAAAAATGACCCTTCCAGTCAACAACTTGTGGTCTTTCTTATCATAAGCAAAATCTACTTCGATGTATGGCCCAAGCGTCGAGGTGTATCGATCTTCGACTCTCAATTCTATCTTCATCTTTAGTCCTTGAGTGACTTTCAAGTAGCGATAAATCCTCTTTGCCGATTTTCAGTCGTGAGCACGTGGCTGGTGGGTTTTGTGCGTCGCTTTATGCACTGCAAACGCCACATCTGGCCTCATACAACGCGTCACCCAGAGAAGAGTCTCCAAAAGCTACTGGAAATTATTTACTGGTAGATTTGTAGAAGCGCTAGTTTCCTCTAGCAGTGCACTATCTTCATCTTACACCTAGATGCAGTCTGCATTGATTGGGGCAAGAGCCGACTGCGCTTCATGAAGTCCGCTTTCGCGCAGTAAGTCCTTAATAGCCTCCTTCTTGTTCTAGGACATTGGAGTCATCTTCGATAAGTGCCACTCGCATACCCGAAACCTTCGAAATACGTCATAAATCCCTGAGCGATAATGGACCGACGCTGGCAAATAATTATCCACTGTCACAGCACTAGTGCCGGTTGCAAGAAAATCATCGATATACACGCCGACCGCGACAACATGTCCACCATATTTCTTGCGGTACAGACCCATGTTGGCAAAACAAATGATCGAATTCAGCATCCGTAAGTCGTGTGTGTAGAAGCTGACTACATAGTCGCCTCTCTTGTTCCAGCCGTTCAAAATTTTAAGTAGCTGAAGCACCAAATCATTTTTTTGTCTTGCGCCGAGCTTCTAGAGTGTATTGCAGTTGACATCCATGCCTTTAAAGTTTGAAATATAACGTCCAGGTGCGCTTCTTTGTCCGCCTTGACATAACCGTCAAATTATTCCCGTGCTTCGCTGGTACCTTTCACGTCGCTGCAAGTGTCAGTATCACCTTTACTGTCGGCATGCCCATGACGGCAGCCAAGGTGATAATGTAGTCTACGCCTAGGAATTTCTCGTTGCTGCACGCAACTGATCCCGTCTTGAGCATCTCTACGTCCTCTCACGCGTGCGTTTTAGTTGATAAGCCCTTCATGTCTTAAAGCGTTGCAATTGGCAGGGTGCATTATCAGCTTCCGTACATCTATCCTCGAGGGATGTCAGCTCTTCGTACATTGACTTCTTCCAGGACTTATCATGGATATGCGCATCGCTTCGCCGTAATTATTTGGGTCCCTCTCGAAGGCATGGATCACAACGTCAAAACTTGACCCGACTTCTCCCGGTCGCTGGCTGCAGCTTCATGTATCAAGCTTGATCTCGTTCCGTGCGCCCCACTCTTCCAATTCTATCTGCCTCGTGTGCAATTTTGAGTATTTCTCTGAATCTACAACTTCATTCGTATCGCTTGATTTCCATCATACCTCAATGGGCACTGCAGCTGAATGTTTTTCTAAGCATTGAGCCGACGTTCACGACGAGCTGCGTCTTCACCAACTTACTTATCTTTCGTATAAACACATAAAATCCCTTTTTTTCGCTGCTAATTCCAATGGTTAATACGAATTGCAATAGCTGCGTTAGCGAGTTCTTTTGAGGATCCCTGCACGTAAAGCATATGCTCCCAAACACAAAAATCTTATAAAGACCGAGGGCTTGCATCGTCAAAAAATCGATTGGAGGTTTGCGTCCTGTATTGGATCGCGTCTGGCTTCTATTCAGGATGTAATGCAAGTACTTAACTGCGTATATCCAGAATTTGAGATATAGTTGACTATAGAAGATCATAAAGCGTGCCATGTTAGATATCGTTCGATGTATAAATTTAGCTTTGCCGTTAAATGGTTGGTTCCGCGCTTCGCTACTTTTCGCGCAATGTTTGTGCGCTGGCACATCTAGCCATCTCCTTCCGTTCACAAGATGCGTATCTTGCACTTAGAAGTGCGCTAGAAAGTATTACGAATTCCTCGAATCTTATCGCGGCCATTTTCTTCCTTAAGGCCAGTATTACGCGGCTGTAGTTCGATTTGTGGTCGATGAAGTTGATCAGGTAGCAATTTTTAAGTCGATCTCCTGAAGTTAGCTTACCTTGTAAATCCGAGCAACTATTTCGCCCATCCTATCGATAGACGAGTCGTTCCTAGTGTACATCCGAGACTGTTCGTTCTTCGTCTTCTCCCCTTCTTTGCAAGAATAAAAAATAGTCCTGTTGTGGTTCTTAATCTTGATACCCGATCCAGGTGTCTTTGCCATGCGATCAGTCGTGTCAAGAGACAGGTGCCATATGCGCAAAAATTGCACAAGAGATCAGGTCTGCACATCGTCTGCTGTCATACTAATTTGTGTCCGAAAACACGGCCACCAAAGCATCTCTTGGTATTTTGTTCCACTGGCGTCGCTGATGATTTGACGTACAGCACTTATCGCCTGCATCCTGATGTCAAATGCGATCTCCTCATCTCTGCGTAGCAGTAGGTAGTGACCCTATCTTCTGCAGACGATCCTAAACCCTATTTGCTCGAGTTTCCCGTACTAGACGATGTTTATCGCAAGATGTGGCTCCACAAAGACATCGATGAGAATGATCGTTCGAACTATACCTATTGCAATCTCGCTCAACCGGACACTTCCAGCAATGAATATTCATGTGACATGACGTCTGCCATCGAAATCTCGTGGTCGCACTGATCGACGCCCTGCACTAGCGAGGAATCATATACCAAATGTCTACTCGAACCGCTATCCATTATCCAGTCGCTTGGCTTGCTGTCGTCTGCATCTCCGACTGCATCCACGGAATCGGTTGGCGTCTTTTTCTTTTTCCTTCCGCTTGCTCCACGCCTACGAGATTTGTCATAGCTTATTGCAAGAATCATGTATTCATCGTTTGTATCAGTTTTGTTGCCAGCAGTTTTCTTTCCCTTGTCCCGGAAATTCGCTAGAATGTGTACTATCTTGCTACACCTTAGCAAATGCGTGACTATTTACACTTAGAAGACGGATCTACATGCGTAGCAACAATTTCACGCCGATAGATCCACTTCCAAGCTCACTAAACGTCGCAAAATGTGTCAATTCTTCGGCATGTCTTAAGATTTGCTCCGTGTGAGGTCGTACATGGCTCGCATCACATTCATGAGATCAGGCGAAGTGTGATGAACTAAACTGTCTAGTACCAGCGAGTCATCACCTCCCCGTGCATCACTTACCGCGTCAAGGTCCAGGAAATACTCCGCCAAAGACCTTTTTGCGTCTTTCTTTTGCGAACATGTTTTATAGACTGGACTGTGGTGATCGTCATCTTAAAAGTCTCCTTCCAGCGGCCCATCAGGTAGTACACTGTTGGATTCTAGTTTCACCAGATATCGACTTGCTTGTGGTAGTAGCTCGTGGATGTAATGGCTAATGGCCTAGTAAGTCCACCTTGAAGCCTTCGCTCCACCGAAAAACGCACGATGCGTCGGCCAAGTTGACTTGTCACAGGAATGTTGTTTTTGAGCAAAGGAAATGGATCCATAACAGGGTTTTAATTCTCTTATTGTCGAATCTACGGCTCGTTAGATTGCGTGGGCTGCCGTAGGTGTCACATACGTAGTTCATAGCCCCTTACTGCTGAAGTGGCGCTGCTAGAATTTTACTCGAGGAAGTGTCTCGTTAGTTAGTAAGGCTGCCCATGCGCTTGTTACATGTACGGCATCGGTAAAACACGTCACTAGGGATAGGTAAAGGGAGGCTTCAAGTTCGATTGATGGTCCTGGAGCCCGCGCTTCACGATCCACTTGTTCGCACTCAGATGAGTGTCTTAGCGCGTCGAATTTCATCGTCTTTGCGTTCACATTCGCGCCTAGAGCCAATGCAAACATACCACCTTCTAAGGCATCATGCACACGCCCCCCTCTCCGTACACCAATTTAGTCTCCATATTCTCCATGTGGTCAAAGAGGGCGGCGAGGGCGCGAGAATCTATTCGTCCGTTGATGATATCCTTAGTGGGCCGGCGAGTATCTAACGACAGCCGCGGTGCGCAGCGGAATAGAGGCGTGTCTTGGGAAGTCAGCACGTAACGACGAGTCCCTTATGAAACATTCTGTCACCTGTAGGGCCTTGGCGTCGTCTAATATTGCCTATGTGTAACGGGGCACCCTGAAGCTTGTACTGGTGACAGTACAAGCTACTTATTCTGATGACAGAATAAAGCGGTGCCTCGTAACTTCACGTACACTCGTACGTACAGAGGAAGACGGTAAGAAGAAGCGAGTACTTGGTTAGAGTAAAAAGTAGAACTGTATTTATAATAGTTAATGTCTGCAATAAATCACTATTTATCTTCATCTAACTATGTCTAAACACAAATGTGTAAATCAATTATCTGCTCACCACTCATTGCGTGCGTCTGTCGTGGCGCGTCTTCGTTGGTTGATATAATGGCCTATATCAACCAATTAGGAACTACTCGTAAGTGCTACAGAATATTTGTCCTTATGACAATATTCTGAGAATATAACTCTTATAGTTATATTCTATTAACAATTTCTTATAAATTGTTATGTAACGATTCACCCCGTTACATCACCCCCCTTAACCATCAGTCACTTTAGTGACTGATTGACTAAATGGATACTCGTCCCAAATCATTTGGGACAGGGTTTGCACTTGTTGGTTCGAGTCCACTTTCCAACATCTCATCGCATGGTTAACAAGCCCATGCGATGCGCGAGCAAGGCCGCCGAGAGCGCGTCCGCACGTCTCTGTGCGGACGCCGAAGCAGAAACAACAGCAACTGATGTCTCATCGGTTGCTGAAGCGACCCAGCCTGTATCACTTGGTGATGCAGGCGCTGGTCATGAAGACACTCGTGTCTTCACAGAGTACGAGCTCGGTGTCTCGTACTCTCCTGATACGGAGGACGGATCCGTATCGACAACGATTGAATCTAAGCCTCCTGCCAAGCGTGGCATGGACGATGCTTTGCGTCGCAGCATCTTTGGTTCATCTGATGAATCAGATGAACCATCGCCGAAGCGAAGGCGCTCGAGGTCGCGAGACTCGGGCGCTAATAGTGGTGTCGGTTCTCCTATGGACATTACTTCGCAACGAGGTTCCATTCCTTCTGTCGGCACATCGCAGGAAGCGCGGGACCGCAATGTCTTGCGTCTCGCTCCAGAAAAGAAGGCATGGATGCCTCCAAAATCCGTCATGGATCACTTGTCGGCGACGACGAGTGATCGTTATCGAACACGATTGTTCGATTCGTCAAGGATCCATCACCTTGACCCCAGCGCGAAAAACTATCGCGCTGAACATGATTTCTTCATCGATGCTTTCTTCAAACATCGATGGTACAGTGGGAATCACAAACGTGATGGTCCCTCACTACTTCAGGCGTGGAACGCCTACATCCATAACCTTGAGGATGTAGGTCGTGACGCTTGGAACGAAAAACTTATCAAAGCTCGTGATAAGTTTGAAAAGCGAACCCCGACAGGTGCACGCTACAAGCTGCATCGTCTGTCAAGGGAGAAATGATTACCCTGCCTCTCTTGGGGAGACTCTTGCCCATGTTGTGTGAACAACTCTGCACGAGCACCTAAGGAGGCTTACCTCCTTACCAGCCCGTGGTGGCTCGTACGTATCTCTACTGAGATGTACGAAGGGATTGACAACCTGAAATCCCTTTATGACCGTGCCGGGAAGACTTTCTCCGGCGGTCCTTCTGCGGCACAGGATGTGCCGCGTCGTACTGCTCAACCAGACCCAGTACGTCGATCATCAGTTGGGAGCGGGGCTCCCAAGAATCCCAGGACGGGGGATAGCCGCGCCACCGGACGAGATAACTCGTCCGACGTCCGTTCACGTCGCGGTGGTTCAACAGCTGCTCAACTAGATAGCGCTGGCCACCGCGAGAGTCCTCTAATGGAGGTGGAGGAGGAGGAAAGACGCTCTCCACACGATCATGTGGATCGGTGTGTTCCCGAGAGCTTCTTTGATCGCGTAACGCAAGGGTTACGCGACGATCTCGACATGAGCGGAATAGGCGTCTCCAAATGGCGGACACTGCCTCGAAGCATCGAGCTGAGTTTGCCTTTGCTCAGCTTGAGAACGATAGATCTCTGACATCTCTTCGTGACGAGCTAAGGGTAGCTCGTGGGATTGTTGATCGGTCTCGGGCTGAGATAACTGCTCTTCAGACCCTTGTTGATGCCCACCATCGGGAGCACAAGGCTCTCTGCGAGATGCTTGAGCGCAAGGGCGTTCTTCATCGGAAGAAGCAGCGTACTGATGGTACGGCTTAAGTCGACCAACGTAAAACGTGGGATGCGTTCGCATCTTACGTGGCAACTCGATCGTGTATGCATTGCCTAGGCGGTGCAATACACGAAAAGGGCCGATGTACTTGGGTAGTAGTTTACTGCTACCCAAGTTAGTCACTACATGCTTTGGTAGATTAACCGTAGACAGTAGGACTAAGTCACCTTTATTAAATGAAAGAGTGTTTGCCCTTCCATTCTTGTCAGCGTTTTTCTTTTGCTTATCCATCGCTTCGGCGATGGAGTCTTGCACGAAACGGACTACCGTTTCACGAGCCAGTATGAACTCATCTGATGACTCGTTAGCTTCAGTGTGCTGTGATCGCACTGCAGCAACATCAACCTTTTCTTCAGTGAGGGCTTCCGCACTCTCACTGGCATCATCTTCTTCAGTGAGGGCTTCCGCACTCTCACTGGCATCAACTTCTTCGATATCGATGTTATCGATATCGGCATCAAACGCAATGACCTCTTCGTCAGAGCGTGATGAGCGTGAACCAAATCGGTTTTTGATCGCGCGAGTCCCTCCCCCCCTTAAACCAGAGTTACACTCTAGTAAGGTGGGTACACGCGGATGGCGCAAGCCATTCACGTAAAACGGTGTATGGGTCGTGGACGCATGCACCGAGTTGTTAATGGCAAACTCTACCATTGGCAAAATCTCACTCCAACTCTTAAAGGAGTGTACGTATCCTCGAAGTATCTCTTCAAGGACACGATTGGCACGTTCCGTCTGACCATCTGACTCTGGATGATCAGATGTTGACATCTTCAAGCGCGTTCCGAGTGATTTGAACACGGAACGCCAGAAATCAGCAGTGAACCGTGGATCTCTGTCTGATACGAGTTCACGGGGCAACCCATGAAGTCGGAAGATGGTGTCAATAAAGACACAAGCACAGCCACTTGCTGTGATTGTCTCTGGTACAGCCACAAGGTGTAACATTTTGCTGAATCTGTCAACAAATACGAGAATACCCGTATTCCCGCGTGCGTCTTTGGGTAACCCGAAGACGAAATCCACTGAGATGGATTCCCAGCACTCAGCCGGAACCGGTAGAGGCTGTAAAGGTTCACGCAGTGAAGGACTTGACTTCACTCGTTGACAGACTTCGCATGCGCTAACATACTTTCGCACAAACGGATACTGGCGGGGCCAGTAAAAGTCTCGACTTACCGTGAGATATGTTTTCTCTCGGCGACGATGTCCTCCTATAGGAGCATCGTGATACTCGAACATGATCCGCAAACGCAGATCAGTATCATCTGGAATGACAACACGTGGTGTGTCACCAGAAACGGCTGTATAGTACAGTAAACCGTTACGAGTAGTGTATCGATCTGATGCAGATCGATACGCAGGCGACAATCGTTTCAACGATTCTCGGGATGGTTGAGAGAGATGTGTCAACAACTTCACAATCTCACCATCTTGGGCGTATGCCCGCCTCACATCATCATACAACGTTGTAGATGGGACTGAGGACGTCATAACCGCAACAGTGACTGTCTCACTGTTGGGTTTCACGACTGGTTCAAAGTCGGGACGACGTGAGAGTGCATCAGCGACGACATTAAGTCGTCCTGGTTTGTACTCGACCGTAAAGTTGTATTCTGCAAAGAATGACAACCACCGCGCCATTCGTTGTGAAAGGTGCGGGCTGTTCACTGCCGTGCGTAATGACGCATGGTCAGTGTAAACAATGAAGGGTCTATCTACTAATAGATAGACTCTGAACTTTGCGAGTGAATACTTCATGGCAAGGAGTTCCTTGTCATGCACTGGATAGTTCCGCTCAGCTGGTTGCAGCTGACGCGACTGATAGCAGACGACGCGTTCAACGCCTTCAAGATCGTACTGCATTAATGCACAGCCGATTGCAAAATCGCTGGCATCACACCACATGAAATGGCCTGTCCTGATCGGCTATTGCTAGGACTGGGGATTGTATCAAGCTCTGCTTGATACCCTCAAAGGAGCGCTGACATTCAGCGTTCCATAACCACCTCTCGTTCTTTTTCAACAAACGAGAGAGGTGCACAGTCATCTCGGCGTAATTGCGTGAATACTTATGCAAATACGCCGCTAGCCCAAGGAATTTTCGAAAACCTTTGACATCGACCGGCACAGGCCAGTCGGTGATCGCCTTGATCTTTTCGGGATCAGGACGTACACCGTTCTTACCAACGATGCACCCAAGAAGTGGTATTTCGCTTGCTGCAAATATACACTTCTTGAGGTTTGCATACAATTGATGCTTTTGCAAGATTGTAAGAACCTGTCGGACGTGGTACCTGTGAACCTCAACATCCGACTTTCCATCCATAGCTCGACTATGGATGAATACGTCATCGAAATAACTCGGCGCGAATTCGCGTACTGGTCTCAACAGATGTGATACACATCTGTTGAACGTGGCAGGGGCATTACTGAGCCCTTGTGGCATTACTAGCCATTCCCAGAGCATGCCACTAGGCGTGCTAACTGCGGTATAGGGTATATCCCGTTCCCGCATAAGGATTTGATAGAAGCCGTCCATCAAATCCATGGACGAAAAGATGGTACTCTTTGACATACCATCAATGATTACGTCCTTCCTCGGTATCGGCGTCTGAGCCGGTACCGTTGCAGCGTTCAATTTGTTGAACGCACGCACTATCCGCCACCCTCCTGTTGCTTTTCGCACACAGAAGGTCGGAGAGCTATGTGGGGAAGTTAATTCCCTCACATGGCCCTCAGCTAAACGATCGGCAAAGAACTTGTCGATTGCAAGTACTTGTTCACGAGGCAGTGGCCACTGCTTCATGACAGAGTACTTCGAGCCTGGTTTAAGCTCGACCTCGTGTCGAATACCTTTATCCTTCGGTAATTCGCACGGAACAGTTTCAGGGAATACATCCTTGAATTCAACCAAATCTTCATAAAAAGGATTTTTCTTGAGCGATTCCCATGATTGGGAGTCATATCGCTCAATTCGTGTCTTTTCATCCAGGACACTCTCGTCCATAGATGAACTACTGAGAACTCTCTCGTTCTCAGTGAACACTGTTGCTGACCTTATGTCGGTTACACACTCGTCGTCAGCGACGAGTATGCAGATCTGCTTGACTTTGCCACTACGCAGATCACGCAAGAACCTTTTATGTTCGAGCGTTGGCAACTGAGTGATCTCCGAAGTTAAATTCGGAGGCGCAATCAGATCAAGTGTATAAGCGCCTACACTTGATCCGTTATTGACTATGACATTCAATGTCTCTGTCATTTCCTGGGGACTTATTCCCTCAGGCTTCGAAGGACTTATTCTTCGGCTTCCCGGGGACTTATTCCCGCGGGTTTCGGGGAACTTATTTCCGCCGTATTTGTAATCTTGGGACTTATTCCCTTTACTTCCTCTAGCTGTGGTTGCGCAACCACAGCGAGATCCTCTACGAAAGACTCTCCAGTCGATCTAGGATTATCGTTTCGCTTAACCTGAGCGATCGATTGTTTCTCTTCTAGATGTTCCCCGCTAGGGATACATCTTTGTCCCAGTCCACCCGACTTATTCTAGTGGTGGACCTTCGGCGCAGCCTGTGTTTCCTCACAGCCGCCGGAACTTTTCTCCGAAGTGTAACCGTTTGGTACACTAAGGTTTTGTGCAGTCGTACTAACGACCGTACCACAAGTGAGGCCATCGCACTCACTCGTAGTACATCCACACGCTTGTGGACGCTCCAAAACGTTCATCAGATGACCATCTAATGAACAAGCGGCAGGCATTGTTACTGTCCGATGTTGCCAGTTTACCCGTGGTTTGTACCTTCTGAGCCACGGTATTCCAAGGATGACATCAAATTTGTCATCCAAATCCAATACGATAAAGTCATCTTCATATTGGGTATCTTCTAGCGTATAGTGGATCTTCACTATACGCTTCATGACAGTTACGGATGCGCCTGTCGCAAGACGTACCGTCATCCTCGTAGGAGGTGTGTCACATTCACTGAATTTAAAGTGACCATCTTCTAGTGATTGGCGTTGCACAAAATTGTTAGACGCCCCACAATCGACTAGAGCTCGAAGGGACAACTTATTCGTCACTTCGAGTTTCAAGGTAATGAGTGAGACCTCATTACCTAGAGCAGCAACGCACAATGTTTGTGTGTTGGGAGCAACCTTCATCAAGAGGCCTACAAATTCTCTTGACGTTGCTGGATCAGTAGGGTGCTCCGCACCTA